TTGGGAGCCCTGAGCCAAGAAGGCCAACTATCCTGCTGGAGAGAAAAGCTAGCCACAACTTGGGATTCCACATCTGTTGAATCAGAGGCAACTTCAGTGGTAGAAAGTTTGCCCAAGTTAGTTTTACAGGACTTCCATGGATTAAAAGTCAAACATAGCCGAAACCGGTTTGGCTCAGTGGATAGAGCATCGGCCTGCGGACTGAAGGGTCCCGGGTTCGATTCCGGTCAAGGGCATGTACCTGGGTTGCGGGCACATCCCCAGTAGGAGATGTGCAGGAGGCAGTTAATCGATGTTTCTCTCTCATCGATGTTTTTGGCTCTCTATCTCTCTCCCTTCCTCTCTGTAAAAAATCAATAAAATATATTTTTTTTAAAAAAGTCAAATATAACCTTCAAATAAAAACCTCCAAGTGTGCAAGAAGGCAAACCCACCATGAGTGAGAATCAGAAGAAACAACAAATTTAGATAATACCCCTGCCACCACCCTCCACAAAGATAGCAAATATTGTAAATATCAAATACCAAACGCAGAGCAGCTGTGTATAGAATGTTTGCAGGAACAAAATGCAATTGTAAGGAAAAATATACAACAGGAAACCACCGGCATAGTACAGGTGAGAAATAAATGAACTAATAGAAATTAATGAACTAATAGAAAGCATAATATTTAAATAAAATTTAATGGAGATGTGTAAAATATGTACAAAAAGTATTTTTGTAAAATGTGAAAAAAATCTCAATGGATGGGCTAACCAGTATATGAGATACAGTTAAAAGTAGAATTAAACTAAAATATGTATCCCAAGAATTTATCCAGAGTGCCGCAAAGTGAAAGAAGGGGAAAGAAATACAATAGAGAGTTGTGATACATGAAAAGTAATAGAATGAGAATGTCTTGCATCCATCTGATTAGAGTCCCAAAAGCTGAAATTGGAGAGAATGGAAAGAAGCAATATTTTAAAAGATAATGAATGGGAATTTTCAGAACTGATGCAAATCATGAACACACAGATTCAGGAAGCACAACATATCCCACATATGATCAAAAATAAATTCATACCTTGTCATCACAGTGAATCTGTTGGGCATCAAACATAAATAGATGATCTGAAAAGCAGAAAGAAAAAGACAGATGACCTATAAAAGAATGATAATTAGAGTAACAACAGGTTTCACAAACAATAATGGAAGCCAGAAGAGGGTGCAACAGCTTTTATAAAATGTTAAAAAAAAAATACTGTGCACTTAAAATTGTCTACTCAGCAAAACTATCATTTAATAATAAGGGGAAATATAATAATCTTTATAAGAAACAAGCACATGAGGGATTTACAGAGAGATCTTCTCTAAAAGAACTCATAAAAGATTTAGTTCAAGAAATAGGAAAGTGATCCCAGAAAGAGGTAGAGATGTAAAAATGGAAAGTGAACAACAACAAAAAAATATGGTGACATAAAAATAAGCCCCCAGGAATTACTGTCTCAGTACAGTAATACAGGAGTCTAATCTGTGGAGACTGAAGTAAGGCAGAACTGAAGTGTTCAAAATCGGTAAATTGGGAAGAAAATCAATACTATGTCAGGAGAGGGGAAGACCAGAAATAAGTGATCTGAAGTTGTCCTATTGACTAGAAGGAAGGCAAAATATCATTCAAGTTTGTTAGGTTAAATGTGCGTATTAAAATGTATAGGGTAACCACTAAAATAATAGAAATAAATTACAGAAATGCCAAACCAGCATAAAGGGAAAAGCGAAATAAATAGAGGGTGGGGATCATCGCCCAACGGCAAGAAACTAGCATTCCAAGCTTTGGCCAGCACAATGAGACAGGAAAAAAGTTAGAAGCATAATGATCACAAAGGGGGAAATGAAACTGTCATTATTTCAAATAATCTGACTAGCCATAGCGAAAATATGGATTTACAGCAAACCACTGAAAAATGATAAGAGAATTTAGCAAGGGGATTGGATCTTATGCTCAGCATGCAAAAGTCAATTGCAATTCTATATACCAGTAATAAGCAATTAGGGGACACATATTTTTTTCAAAGATACCTTTTCTAGAGAAAAAAATACCTAAGAATAAATCTAACAAAAGAGGTACAAGTCCCATACTTATAAATTGTAAAACTGTACCAAAGGACCTAAAGGGTGACCTAAATAAATGAAGAAATAGTCCCTGTTCATGCATAGAAAGATAACATAAGATATATAGACATACATACTTTTTATAAAGTTCAACTAAAACTAAACAGTGTAATAATGAGATAATAAAAAGTGTTAACACATAATTTTAAGAGCAAGAAAAAAATAAACACAAAATTCATGGTACTGGTTATCTGTAAAGAAAAGGTAGGAGATGGGATGGAGTAATACATAACTAGCTATGATATTATTAGTGCTTACGTTTTTGAGCTGTGTGTTAATCAGTGATCGTTATCTTTGTAAATAAATAGAAAAAAATTAAGGGAAGAGTCTTAAATGTGTTTTTAAATCCATTAGTTTGCAGCTTGACAAAGACATAACTACAACAAAAATGAAACTAAAACATTATCAACTAAATATGAGAAAATTGATCAGATGAATTCAAACAAAAACAAAGTACAAATTGGAATATTAATGCCAGACCATATAACATTTAAGGTAAAATGCATTATATTCACTAAAGACTGTGAGTATGTATACTATAGTAACATACAATATAGTCATATATACTCAGGAGTAATAGAGAAAAAATGATAGTAATGAACCTTTCTGACGCAAAGAGTCTTAAATGTGTTTTTAAATCCATTAGTTTGCAGCTTGACAAAGACATAACTACAACAAAAATGAAACTAAGAAAAACATTATCCACTAAATATGAGAAAACTGATCAGATGAATTCAAATAAAAACAAAGTACAAATTGGAGTATTAATGCCAGGCCATATAACATTTAAGGTAAAATGCATTATATTAACTAAAGACTGTGAGTATGTATACTATCGTAACATATAATATAGTCATATATACTCAGGAGTAATAGAGAAGAAATGATAGTAATGAACCTTTCTGACGCAGCATCCAAACATATGCAGCCAGGCTTCTGGGACAAAATGATGGAGTAAGACTTCATCATACTCCCTCCGCCTCATTATATAATGGGGTGAACAAAACCCATTTAAAAACAGTGGGGGAGAAGAGCACTGTGATTACTAACAACAGCTCCCCAAGAGGGGAAATAAGCCCAACTTAATACCGCTAACTTGAGAGAGTGACAGCCGAAGAGGAGGGGGCGGAGGGAGGAAGATCTGCCCTCACAGAGTACCATACGGCAGAACTCCTGACACCATTTACAAAATTCTGAGCTCTCAAATCCAAGAGGATGGAACCAAGTATGTCTCCTTATCTCTTTCTTTTTTTGACCGGGTGGTGATGAACATGGTCTCTGGGTAGGGACCAGCACCAGAAGACACGTGAACTGTGACAGACACGAAGATCCCCAGGCTCCAAACAGAATGGCAATAGCACCTCAAAGCCCGTAAGGCTGTTCCCCCATGAGAACGAGGATGCTCTAAATTGGGCTGGGGCACACAGAGTAACTTCAACTTCTTAATGTCTCCCACAAGCGACTTTCTTCATCTGAGAGGGTTCTTTCAGGGAATAGTTCTTATTGTGAAGAAAAATGAATCTTGAGTTCAGCAATTTCCTTCATTCGTTTGAGAGTTTGGGGCGTTTTGATGGTTTGGCAGGTTTGGGTTTTTTTTTTGTTGTTGTCGCAGTTGTTATACATTGTGAACTAAAATTCAGTGGTATTGAGTGTTGCTTCGGAAAAAGCACTTTCAGTATGATTCCAATTTTATAAAAGTATTTCTGTCTTTCTACCTAACCATCTAATGTTAATGATAACTATTGATGGGCGGTTAGATGCGGGATAATTTGTTGCTGTCTTAATGCTTTTCTGCATTGCTTAAATTCTTTAAAAGAAGCACGTATCCAACACATCTCATCTGTGAATAAAGAGAGAAGCAGCTAGAGCAAGATAGCAGTAACAACAACAATTTACACACTTACCGCTTATCAGGCGCTGTTCTAAACCCTTGGCATGTACTCGGTTGAATCATATGAAATTGCCAATATTTGGCTATTCTTGACCTACTAACACAGCAACTTCATGTGGTCCAACTTACATTTACTGCTTTAACCCTTGAACAACCCTAAGATGAAGATTGAGAACCTGTCCTCTGGCCTTGCCCTCACACCCCTCCTCCACAGATCAGGGTGCACACACAGGCAGAGGGATGGTTCTCTGTCCCAAGACAACTTTCAAGGTGACACCACCATCAATCTGAGCACTGACCGCAGGACCTGTGTTCTTGCTTTAACTCAGTTTACCCCCTGAACGAAGCCACTTTGGGTTTCTAGGGGGTCCAGGTTCTTCGGAAGCTCGGGTTCTGTTTCAGAGCCCACAGGACAACTTTGGTGCAATCCCCAGTGCAGCCCCCATGTCCCCCAGCCGGGCGCCAGAGCAGGACACACTCGACAGTTTCATGTTTATTTTCAGAAAGTGATGAAGACAAAAGAAATATATCCAGACACCACTCTCTGTACAATAAATAGCCACCTCGTTCCAAAAACAAAAAAATAGAAAAGAAAAAAGCGCACGTGCGCGCGCGCGCGCACACACACACACACATGACCGATCTTGCTTCTCTCGACAGGCACCGTGCCCCCCATGCCCAGTCCCCCCCTCAGGACGCGCTGTCGCTGAGTGGGTGGGGCCCAGGCCAGCTGCCCAAAGTCACCTGCGTCCTCTCCCTGACCCTGGCCGGCTGGCTGTTACGAAATCCATGTGCCTTTATTTTCCGATCAGAGAGTAACACACACACACACACACACACACACACA